CGCCGGGCGTCCACTTCATCTTCTTCTCGGGGGGAGCCACCACTGCGGGCACCATTCCGCCTGCCCCCGTTCCGTCGCGCTGGCGCGCGTTGGCGAGCGCGGCGCGGTGCACTCCCTCATCCCCAATCCAGCCTGTATGCAATTCCGAGTTCCCCTCTCCCCATCTCCTCCGACTTCCTCCCTCCGCCATCCATCCCCCGATGCCCCTTCTCGTCCCCCCTCCACCCCCCAGGCACCATTACGCATGATGAGCACTGCTCTCCTTTCTCCCCCGACTGCCTGGAAGATCTCTGGCTCTCTCCACGCACTGTTCTGTGCCACACGAAATCTAGAACCCTGATGCTTCGTCATGTCTCGTTTACAAGATTGAAGGGGAACTGGAACACACAAATAAATACACACAAATAAAAATATCCCCCATGTTTTCCCATATTTTCTGGGTTTCTGTCTTCCCCCCCACTTCCCATATTTTTCCATATTTTCCTGGGAATCGAGGATTAATTGTGTCTGTGTGTTTTTTCCCCTCCTGAAAGATGTCTGTGCCGGTATTTCAAGATGGTGTTCCCGCTGCAGCCGGGGCCTGCTTTGCGCTTCGGCGCGTGGCCCCCGTCGCTCAGCATGGCGCTCTCGCCCAGGCGCGGGCCACTTTCCTGGCTCCGAGTCCTTTTTTCCATCGTTGTCGCCCACCTACTTTCCCCTCCTCAGCCTTCCCCTGGTCCTCCTGCTCCTCCCATTCCTTCCACTCCAGTTCCTGCTGTGGCTGATGTTGCCCTCCTTCATCCTCCTCCTCCTCCTCCTTCTCCTCCTCCTCCTCCTCCTCCTCCTTGTCCTCCTGTTCACCTGCCACCTCCTCCTATGTACGCAATTCCCGTTTTCCGATGGCGCATAACACGAGGGTGTCTTTCCGTTGGAGTTCCAGGCCGGCTATGACACGCGTCCACGGATGGAGAAACATCCGCGCAAAGGGGAGGGATGGGAGGGATGGATAGGATGTCGGACATGGCGCGAGCAGACCCAGCTTGCCCCCTGCCATCCCTCCCTCCCCCACCCCCTCCGTCCCTGCGCCTCCCCCGCCCCCGCCCACCCCTCCCGCCGCCGTCCTTCCCCCTCCCCTTCCCCCCTCCCCCTTCTCGTTCCTCCTCCCCCTCCCCCTTCCCCCATCCCCCTTCTCGTTCCTGCCCCTGCCCCTCCCTCCCACACACAGCCTCCCCGTCTCCTCACTTCCCCCCTGACTACCTACCAGACCACCCCAACCCAACCCGCAGACCCGAATTTCGGGTTGGGGGGGGGTATGGGCTCCATCTGTGTTTTTTCTATGTTACCTGACCCCTCCCCCAGTGGAAATGGAGGCAAAAGTGAGGCCTTCGGGTTGGGTTGGGGTGGTTTGGTTGGTGGTGACCCCCTCTGCCCTGTCGCCCTCGACGCGTCCCCCACGCGCGCCCCCGCGCCCTCCTCCTCGAGAGGGCTCCGCCTGCCCCCGCTCGGAGCACCGAGAGCGGCCGCGCCGGGCCCGCCCGCGCCGCGGGGCGGCGGCGCCGCGGGGGCGGCGGCCGTGGAAGCGAGCGAGCCGCACGCTTCCGGCCCCGCAGGATCCTGCAAGATTCGACGCTCTAACGGCCGACGGACCCCCGTCTGCATGGACCCCCGGCCCTCGAGCCCCGATAGAATGAGGGCCTCGTGCGCACAGCCCTGACAGAGTAGGAGCTGCAGGCAGCGCAGATCTCCCGTGGAAGGGGCAGTGCTGCTTCGGAGCGGCGCACGCGCTGGCTGCGCTGCCCTGGCGTCGGAGAGCCTGGCCGCGCGAGCAGAGTGCCACGCAGGGTGCTCTCGCCGCAGGGTCGCGGAAGGATTTTCTGCAGTGTCGTGCCCACCCCCGCGCGGCCCTTGCCTGCTTCGCTTCCCCCATCGCCAAGTCGTGGGGCACGAGACCGTGCGGGGGCGCCTTCCGTTGGATAGGTGGGAGCACCGGACAATTCCTATTTAAGTTGCGCCAGGATTGGCTCTTATGTTATGGGTTACGGGGGGATGGGTGGGACAGGGCGGGGCCCGCAGACTTGTTCCACCTGGCTCACTTGACCCTTCCTCCTTTTCCTCCTCCTCCTCCGCCTCCTCCTCCTCCTCCTCCTCCTCCTCCCTCTCCTTCTCCCCTTCCCTTCTTCCTCCCTCCCTCCGCTGCTCCCCCCTTCTGCGTACCTCCCCTCCCGCCCTGCCCCAGCCAACTCGTGCTGCCTGGGGTCGGCTCGGCCGACCCCCCGCCCTCGCTCGGCCCCCGAAGCCCTCGTGGCGTCGTCGCTCGACCCCCCCCCCCCGGCTCGGCTCCTCGGTCCGTCTCGCGGCTTGCTGCCATTCCTGCCTCCCTTCTCTTCAGAGGCCTCCTAGATGGGGTCCGAGTAGATGGGGTCGGAGGATCGCGCCGCATCGCCGACACATCGACGATGTCTCGGCGATGCACCGGCGATGCACCGGCGATGCATCGGCGATGCATCGGCGACGTCGGCGGTACATCGGCGACGCTGGCGTGGAGAAAAGTGGGCACCACATCGAGCCGCATCGCCGATGCATCGTCGATGCGGCGCGATCCCCATCTACTCGGACCCCATCTAGGGGGCCTGATTAGACCCTTGGGCCAGCCTCTGAAGATTAGGAGCAGGCCAATCCTGAATAACCCCTCGCCCAGTGCCTTCCACTCTTAGAGGCAGCCGGGTGGTCTGCGCTGGACAGGGCCAGGCCAGAGGGGGACCCAGACCCCCGACGTAATGATTTTTTCATTACGTCGACCCCCAGAGGTCCCGACCCTTCCCCCATGACCGGCTTTGCATCCTGAGTCGTTTTTTGACGCTCCCGAGGCCCGCTGAGGGCCCCCGGAGGCCGAAAATTAGGAAAAACCTCCCGTCGTGATTTTTTCATTACTCGAGGAGGTCTGGGGAGGGAGGCCAAATCTGCTAAAGAAGTCAGTCCCCAGACCCCTCCCAGGGGCCAAGCGCACCAGCTGTTCGAGCCGCGCCCCGCCGTGGCGACGAACAAAAACCCAGGCGGTCGAAACAGGACGAAAAAGGTCCCCGTCCCCTCCCTTCCTGCTGGCCATATCCAGCGCCGAGCCACCACAGGCCCCCAGCGGACTCCAGCCCTCCACACCCCCCACCCGTCCCCTCCTGCCCTCCGCTCTGCCCTCCCCGTCTTTGCCCCCCCCCCCCCTCGATGGTTCAGAGATGGATGGGGTCCTGAGGGATGGGAACCTAAGGGTAGGAAGGTTGAGGCCTGAGGATAGGAAGGGGTCCAGGCGTGGACCTACGTGGTTTGAGGCACCTCGTCCTCAGGGCCCCAGACATGCGACGCCCTGATTCTTCCAAGAAGGGGCCCCGGGAAGTCCCGACCCTTTCCTGGGGACTGGTTTCTCATCCCGAGATGTTTTCGTCGGCGGCCCCGAGGCCTGGCGAGGGCCACACGGGCCAAGACCAGCCCAAAAACCTCCCGTCCTGTTTTTGTCGTGTTGCGGCACAATCATGTCCGGAATCCCGTGCCTCAGGACCAAGAGCAAGAGCAAGAGCAAGAGCCCGCGTCGAGGCACCTCCGCGGGTGCGGCGGGAGGGCGCCGGGGCGCGGTATGACTCGGAAGCTGGAGCTGAACACTTGGAGCCGGGGTCGGGAAGAAGGTAGCCGGCTTCGGAGAGATGGGAGTGGGTGCTGGAACCGTCTTCGGAGAATTGGGAACCACACGTGGCCTGCCGCTCTCTGGATGGATTCATTTCGTTGACGGTCCCGAGGCCCGGCGAGTGACCCCCGAGGCCGAGACCAGCCAAGAACCTCCCGTCCTGTTTTTGCCGGCGGCGGCGATAAGGGCGAATAGCCCAGGGGCGGGCAGTACACGTACTCGCCCGGGAGCCTCGACGAAGACATAGATCATCGGCGCCCCTGAATACATGTATTGCCCTCCCCTGGGCTATTCGCCCACATCGTCGCCTCTGCTTTTGCAGGCGCCCCCAAAATCGAATCGACAAGTCGGATCGGCGATCGAAATGAGTCGGATCGGCGGAAATCGGCAGCCGAGTCGGGAGAAGCCGAATCGGCGGAAATCGGCAGGCTAGTGTGCCTCCAAGAAGAAACCGGAGCCCAAATCGGAATCCGAAGTCGAATCGAATCGGAATCGGAAACCATCGAAATCGAATCGAATCGAATCGGAGGAGTCGAAACGAGCCCTGCTTTTGTCGCATTGCGACGCGATCATATCTGGGATCCCGTGCCTCAGGACCCCCTCTTTGAACCACCGGCCCTCCCGCCCAGGAAGCTCCTTGCATGGCGCGGCCCGCGGCGCCCCGGCACGGGGGGGCAGCGCCGCGCCGACCCGCCACGATCCCCCCGGGCCCCGCTCGAGGAGCCGCGAGCAGGGGGCGGGCGAAGCTGCGCGGCGCTGCGCGAGGACGACGACGACGACGACGACGACGACGACGACGACGGCGACGACGACGACGACGACGACGACGACGACGACGACGACGACGACGACGACGACGACCAGGACGACGACGACGACGACCAGGACGACGACGAGCCGCGCCGCGCCGCCGAACCCTCCCCAGCCGGCCCCCCGGCCCGTCCTGCCTCGCCGCCGCTCTCACCCCGCCCTCGCTCGCCCGCCGCCCGTCTGCCATCTCTCGCCCCCCCCCCCCCCCCGGGCCCCGCCTGTCCCTCCCCCGCGCCTCTCCCGCCCCCCCACCGATCCCCCTCCTCCTACTCCTCCCTCCTGCCGCTCTTGTCCCCCTCCCCCCTCCCTTCTCCGCGTCCCCATTCATGGTCGCCCTCCTCCTGCTCTTGCAGAGCCTCTTCTGGCACCCTGACGGTCACTCTTGAGCAGGCCTGCCACTGTGCAAGTATATGCCCACGCAGCAAAGGGGGGAGGCGGGAAAAGAGGTGAGGAGGGAGGGGGGGGAGAAGAAAAAGGGGGGGAGAACAGGGGGGAAGGAAGGTGGAATGTGGAAAATGGAGATGGGGGGCGAACGTGA